GTATGTGTGTATTCAATGGCTGATGTTCGCATGGTCTTCAATGGTCCTTTCGCTCATAAGGAAGGGCCAAACTACCAGTGGGTTGCCTACCAGGGTAAAATTCCTTACCCCCGACCAGGAACAGTGAGTGTCATCTCTAACATTTACTGTAATACATCATATGAACAAGATAGTTAATGTTGGACAGTCTTAAATGCTGGAATACAAATGTTATCCCTGTGACTTCAGTGTCCAGGAGGGACGTTCACCCCCAACATGAAATCTACTAAAGATTACCCTGATGAGGTTATCAACTTCATGCGCAACCATCCGACCATGTTCAACGCTGTTTATCCAGTCCACAAGCGCCCCCTAGTGGTCCGTACCAATGTGGATTATGAGTTCACCACCATCACAGTGGACCAAGTGGCTGCAGCTGATGGCAACTATGAAGTTCTTTTCTTGGGAACGGGTAAACTTGATACACATTTTAAGTAATATATTTATTTTATACATAAACAGTATACATACTGTGAGGTCTAATAGCCTTTTTATAAAGCTCTTCAGAAAAATGAAGGAAACTTTATTCACTCAAAAAGAATATTATATATTATAAAAAAGTGAAAAAAAAGTGAAAGTGACGTGACATGTGGCTAAGTATGGTGACCCATACTCGGAATTAGTGCTCTGCATTTATCCCATCCAAAGTGCACACACACAGCAGTGAACACACACACCGTGAACACACACCCAGAGCAGTGGGCAGCCATTTTTTTGCTGTGGCGCCTGGGGAGCAGTTGGGGGTTCGGTGCCTTGCTCAAGGGCACCTCAGTCGTGGTATTGAAGGTGGAAGAGAGCGCTGTACATTCACTCCCCCCACCTACAATCCCTGCCGGTACGAGACTCGAACCCGCAACCTTTTTTGGGTTACGAGTCCGACTCTCTAACCATTAGGCCACGACATAGTAATAAATAGCTCTGACTCCTATATTCTGGTCAATTACAGATAGAGGAACTATTCATAAAGTGATTGTCCTGCCCAGAGATGATCTACAGACTGAAGAGCTGGTGCTGGAGGAGGTTGAGGTCTTCAGAGTAAGATCCTCTTTTTTTATATTTCCATTACACTTTGTGTCAACATATTGAGAACAATATACTGTCTTTTTTATTATTAAAATGTATCTTTTATGTTATTATATTTCATAAAATTCTAAAATATATTTATTGTTATATACTATTTTAAAGTTTTTTTTTTCATAACATATAACTATAATTCTTATTACAGGTTCCAACTCCAATCACTACTATGAAAATTTCACCAAAACGGGTAAGCACAACATTTAAAAAAAAGACATTTTTAAATATTCATAGTAATAATATATAGTTTTAAAACTGATTATTCACATTGTTATTTAGCAGATGGTTTGATGCAAAGCAACTTACAAATATGGAACATATTCTTAACATATTCTTTGAATCGCTATATGATGTGTTTTGAATGATACTCTTCTAACTGTTCTTTTATTTCCCCTGTCTTCCTGTGTAGCAACAGCTGTATGTGAGTTCAGTGGTGGGTGTCACTCATCTGGCGCTGCACAGGTGTGATGTGTACGGAGAGGCCTGTGCTGACTGCTGCTTGGCCAGAGACCCTTACTGTGCCTGGGATGGAAAGTCCTGCTCTCGCTACTCAGCAAACCAAAAAAGGTGAGAGCTGCATGTGTGTAAATATCTTTATTATCAGATCATTATACTTAAAATACAATTTAATATAACCTGCAAGATTTGTTTGAATTCATTTCCTCCTTTGAAATTGGTTGTCTGAATCTTGTAGGCGGAGTCGGAGGCAAGATGTGAAGTATGGCAACCCTATAAGACAATGTAGGGGCTATAATTCCAATGGTGAGAAACCAAAAAAATACACTTAGTCTTAAGATTCTTTTAGTCTATTAAAACACACTTTGGAAGAAGTAAAAGACCTCCTTTTGATTTTGGTTATTGTTTTAGATGGTATTTTTGTTTTAATTCCTGCCAGCCAATAAGAACACATTGGAGACAGTGCAGTATGGAGTAGAGGGAAGCACAGCCTTCCTGGAGTGCCAGGCCAGATCTCCTCATGTGTCAATCAAGTGGCATTTCCAAAAGGAGAACAGCGATAGGAGGAGAGAGGTGTGTGGGACATAATGTTACACCATATGTGATGCAATTTTAAATCAACATTTTCTGTATGTTGTGTAATTTTAATGATGCAGTTTTTTTTTTGCCAGTGATATTATTTGCTTAATATAATCCTGTACACTACTGGTCAAATATTGAAAAATAATTTAGGTGTCTCTTATGTTCACAAAGGCTGCATTTAATTGATGAAATATACCATAAAATCAGTAAAATTGTAAAATATTATTACAATTTAAAATAACTTTTAGATTTTAATATGTTTTAAAGTGTAATTTAGTCCTGTGAAGGCAAAGCTGAATTTTCAGCAGCCATTCCTCCAGTCTTCAGTGTCACATGATCCTTCAGAAATTAGGTCACCCTTTATTTTAAGGTCCAATTCTCACCATTAACTACAACGTTTGCCTCAGTAAACTCGTAATTTGCTGCTTTTTAATACTTAGCAAGGTAGTTGTTAAATTTAGCTATTGGGTAGGATTAGGCATGTAGAATATGGTCATGCAGAATATGTGCTTTGTAAGTACTAATAAACAGCCAATATGTTAACAATAGGCATGCTAATAAGCAACTAGTTAATAGTGAAAATTGGTCCCTATGCTAAAGTGCTACCAGAAAGGATTGTAATAATATGCTGATTTGCTGCTCAAGAAACATTTATTATTATAATTAATGTTGAACATTTTGATGGAAACCATTAAACTTTTTTTTTTTCAGGATTCTTTGATGAATAGAAAGTTCAAAAGAACAGCATTTATTTTAAAATAGAAATCTTTCATAACATTATAAATGTTTTTGCCACTTTTCATCAATTTAATGCATCCATGTTAAATAAAATAATTTATATTATATTCAGAAATAATATATATATATATATATATATATATATATATTACTTACCCCTTACCCGTTTGAATGGTAGTCATTTCAACAGAAATATTAAGCAGCAAAAATTAGTTTTAACATTGAGAATTATAAGAAATATTTCTAAATTAGCATATTAGAATGATTTTTGAAAGATCATGTGACACAGAAGACTGGAGTAATGATGCTGAAAATTCAGCTTTGCCATCACTGGAATAAAATACATTTTAAAATATATTACAATAGAAAACAGTTATTTAAAATTGTAATAATATATCAAAATATTACTGTTTTTATGGTATTTTTCATAAAATAAATGCAGCCTTGATGAGCATATGAGACATGACATGAAAAAACATTAAATTTGTTCCAAAATTTTATTTTTTTTAAATTATGGATTTTGTTTTGACTTCATGCTTATTGATACATGTACTATGTGAATGAAACTATGACAAAAAATGATGACCATTACATAAAAAATATCCCTTTTCGCATTAATGTACATTTTAACCTAAAATCTTAATTTTTTTCCCCAACAACCTATGTATTTCAGATCCGTTCTGACGGGCGTGTCGTTCGTACGGAGCAGGGTCTCTTCCTGCGCTCTCTCCAGCTCTCTGATGGAGGGGTTTACCTGTGCACCTCCACTGAGAAGAACTTCAAGCACACACTGGTCAAACTTCAGTTGGTGGTCCTTTCCGCCCGCACCATCAACACCATCCAGACCGAATCCACCGCTCCCGCCGCGCCGCCTCTCCAGTCCAGCACCTGGACGCCCAGCGCAGAGCAGTACAAAGACCTGCTGACCATCCTCAGCCAACCAGAGATGGGCCTCATCAACCAGTACTGCCAGGACTACTGGCAGATGGGGGACGACCCCGCAGCTCACACACACAAGAAGAAGGACCTCAAGGAAGTACAGAAGGACCTCCGGAAGCCACGAAACAGGAGACACCACCAGGAGCAGAGCAGCATGGCTGAGACATGAGATGGAAAAACCCACTCCATCCAAATGAATGAGACTTGAGGTTGACCTCAAGGTCTTTGACTACCATTACACACAAACATATACCCGCAACCATTATGACCGAGGAGAAAATAAACAACCCATTTTTGAAAATTCATAGTATTTATTGTAGGCTGTACATAGTTAGATTCTGTGGATATCTTTGTATGGAAATAGCAAAAAAAAAAAAAAAGAGACAAAAAATGTTTTGTGTATAGATCTGTGCAAATATTTTGTTATCATTGTTACCTTTCTTCCAACATATTTATTACAACAGTATTCACATAATAACACACGTGACTGTTATGATAAAACTTTATGTATATAATGGGATAGTGGGACATTTGAAACTCTTGATGGACAGTTTGTCTGCACTTGATGTTTTGATACTGGAGGAAAGATGGGACTAAAGCCGTTTGCGGACTGTTTTAGCCGAGCACGTGTTCTCATTCTGCAGATGTACGGATAAAGAATTTCTACGTATATTTGGTGCATCTGAGTATTCTGTGACCTCCCAAAAGACTTCGAAAAACACTTTAATATCATCAGAAACTCATCTTTTAATCTTCTTGATCTTCCATATGTTGCTATGCTAATGTGTGTAAAATATAAAGTCGTTTCTGTGTGTTATACGTTTGGTTTATTATTGATTACAGCCTCCTGTACAGTATGTACATCACTTTTCTGTTCTTCTCATTTATATAAATATGTATTGCAGGCAAAGAATGTCGAAAAGCGGGGGGTTCAAAACCTGTCCATCTCTTTGCAAAGCAGAATTATTTAAAGTGTTGTTTTTAAATATGTACCTCTCCAGCCATTTTCAGTAATAAGCGTCCAAGCAAGCACCTCTAAACATTTAATAGGTAATCATTTGAAAGCATTAAATCATTTGGAACTAAACTTTAGGAGGCTTGTTTGAGTTTGCATGAATTGTATTTGTACTGTACAGATATGTAGTCAAATTCTGGATATTGCTGTGTTGCTGTATGGTCTTTGACATAATGAATCGAGAGAGAGAGAGAGAGAGAGAGACTGTTTTTTAAAGACAGTGGACTTCGCTGCAGCATGGCTGAGACATGAGACGGAAAAACATCCCACTCCATCCAAATGAACGAGAGTCGAGGCTGACCTCAAGGTCTTTGACTACCATTACACACAAGCGTATACCCGCAACCATTATGACCGAGGAGAAAATAAACAACCCATTTTTGAAAATTCATAGTATTTATTGTAGGCTGTACATAGTTAGATTCTGTGGATATCTTTGTATGGAAATAGAGCAAAAAAAAAAAGAAGAGCCAAAAACGTTTTGTGTATAGATCTGTGCAAATATTTTGTTATCATTGTTACTTTTCTTCCAATATATTTATTACAACGGTATTCGCATAATAACACCATGTGACCGTTATCATAAAACGTTATGTACATACCACTAACCGGATAGTTGGAATCTCTTAATGCACAGTTTGACTGCACTTGATGTTTTGATACCAGAGGAAAGATGGGACTGAAGCCGTTTGTACATTTAGCGGACTTTTTTAGCCAAGCACATGTTCTCATTCTGCAGATGTACGGCTAAAGAATTTCTACATATATTTGGTGCATCTGAGTATTCTGTGACCTCTCAAAAGACTTTGAAAAACACTTTATCATCATCAGAAACTCATCTTTTAATCTTCTTGATCTTCCATATGTTGCTATGCTAATGTGTGTAAAATATAAAGTCGTTTCTGTGTGTTATACGTTTGGTTTATTATTGATTACAGCCTCCTGTACAGTATGTACATCACTTTTCTGTTCTTCTCATTTATATAAATATGTATTGCAGGCAAAGAATGTCGAAAAGCGGGGGGTTCAAAACCTGTCCATCTCTTTGCAAAGCAGAATTATTTAAAGTGTTGTTTTTAAATATGTACCTCTCCAGCCATTTTCAGTAATAAGCGTCCAAGCAAGCACCTCTAAACATTTAATAGGTAATCATTTGAAAGCATTAAATCATTTGGAACTAAACTTTAGGAGGCTTGTTTGAGTTTGCATGAATTGTATTTGTACTGTACAGATATGTAGTCAAATTCTGGATATTGCTGTGTTGCTGTATGGTCTTTGAAATAATGAATCGAGAGAGAGAGAGAGACTGTTTTTTAAAGACAGTGGACTTCGCTGAACTAGTGATGAAATCAAGCACAATTACCTGATGTGTCTGTTTTGCCTCCATGATTTTTTTTCAACAGGCTTAGCAAACAGGCTGTGTGAAATGGTTGTTGTAAATGTATTTTTTTTCTTTCATTTGTAAGACATTATTCAGCACTGTGGTTTGCCCCCTTGTTTTGTCTTCTTTAGGATATTCTAATGTGAAAAAGATCCAGAATTAGATGTTATGAACAGTTAATATTATAGTAACGTTTTTTTTCCATCGTTGTTGACTAATTAAAGTTATATATTTTATAACAAATACAGGTTGGCTTTTCTGCAGATATATTACTGGGTGAACTTATACTTCCTTACTTTTGCAGACTTAACATAAAGATTGACAGAGACACCGAAGAAGGTTACGATAAGAAATTAGGTTGTTCACGTTACACCAAAAGTATACCAAGGAAGCTGGTCTTAAAATGTTGATTTGCCTATTTAATTAACTGTACATTGTTTGGTAATTTTACATTAGGGTCATTCACAAGAACAAGTGTGATTTGTATCTTCTTTAATACTTATAAGATTATATGCTGCATTATTTCATCTCTGGCATTCATAAAAAAAAAAAATATTTCAAAACATGATTTCTGTAATTCACAAAAGTAACTGAAATAATGTGGTATGGTGTGATAACGTTTGTTAGTTGTGAAAGTTTTAGCCATTTTCTAATTAATATTAGTGTAACTTGTGCCAAGAAAAAAAATCTGATCACTCAATGGAACATTTGAAAAAAAACAAACAAAAACATTTATTTAAAAATTATTTTTGCATTACAAACTAAACCGAGATCTATCAAACATGACTGTTCATTGTCTTGTTAATTATACCTAAATTAAGTCTTGAGGACAAAAATGTTGCAGAAGTGGCACTGGCTCCTAAGAATAGCCCATTAATACTCAGAGTGTATGTCCCCAGCTACATGCAAATACATTTTTTAATCCATTGTACACTCTTAAAAATAAGTTCCCAAAGGGGGATTTTTCAGCGATGCCATAGAAGAACCATTTTGGTTCCTTCCCAAAGAACCTTTCCACGAAGAGTTCTTAAACGAACCATTTTTTTCTTAGTGTGAAGAACATATAACAGGGGTGTCAAACTCAATTCCTGGAGGGCCGGAGCCCTGCAAAGTTTTGTTCCAACCCTGCACCAACACACATACCATGTAGTTTTCAAATAAGCCTGAAAATACTTAATTAGTTGGATCAGGTGTGTTTAATTAGGGTTGGATCTAAACTCTGCAGGGCTCTGGCCCTCCAGGAATTGAGTTGGACACCCCTGACATATAAAGAACCCTTTTCCACCATAACGAACCTTTTGTGCAGTGGAAAGGTTTTATGGAAGTTAACGTTTATTTACGGATACTTTATTATAGTGTGGCCTAAGAAAAGCTTTATTAATACTAGTTTTTGAGTATTTTTTTAAACAATGTTTAACAAGATAAGCATGATCATTTAATCATTAAACAACTTGCAACAAACTCTTAAAATATTGAAATGAATTGCTACTGATGAAGTACAATGAAGAAAGTGTCTCTCTCATCTGTGATACCTGTGGATTCAAATGTATCAATCTTCAGATTGGGGTCAATGAGCTCTGTCAGGTAAAGGACTAAAGCTCTTAAAACGCTGCACTGCACACCGTGTCCGCTGGAAAATGTCAACTGATCCTGATGACTACAGTGGGAAGGTGAGATTAGAATTACTCAGAGATTTCAATATTCAACATCAAAAACACCTTCACATTCAGTCCAAGTTCTATTGAAAAAGCCAAAAATGTAGGCCATAGAGATGTAATTTTCTTTCATGAGGTCAAGCACATTTTCAACAGAATATAGATATAGGAAAACTTATCAAGTTCAAAGTCAACATAACCAATCATTTATGAGACCCATTTACTTTGAGCTTCTACCTTAAATATCATAACGGTCATCAGCTGATGGCAAACAATTATAACATTTGCAACATCACATTATTCCACTCACACATTCTCCATGGCCTTTCTCATGTGCTTGTGAAGATGCTGGCCAGATTAACACTTTTTGCTGAGCACTGCACCTTCTCCTTAAATCTGAGGTTAGATGACCTCTCCATGCTTTCAATGCCTTCTGTCCTTGTTCTTCATTGGCCCCACCAACCCAGGTGGTCAGCGACATCTCCAAAATCCTTCTAAGACTCCAAACAATTCATCAGGTCACCAAGATCCAGTCGAGGTGTGAGCTGTATTGTTGTCAGCACCTGGAGGCCTCTGGACAAGCGAGTGGTCATACAGAAGGACTTCTTTTCCCTAATCAAGAGTCAGAATGGGGGCCGGGGGGAGCGCTGAGGACAAACACTCCAGGGAGCTAGAGAAGAAACTGAAAGAGGACGCCGACAAAGATGCCAGGACCGTCAAACTTCTGCTGCTAGGTAACAACACACAAGTCGACTCAAATGATTGTTCAAGTCAAAACATGAAGAATAGCTCATTTGCTAGATTTGGAAAACGGTATATTGCAGATGTGTTGTGAAGCCTTCCCATTTAAAACTTCATAATAAACAGGCAATGACTTCACATTTTGTTTTATCGATTTGTTTTTTGTTATATGAAAGGAATATTAATTCTTTAAAGCTCACATGCAAGATGAAAATTGATGCCTTACTGAAATTCAAACCAAAGTGGAGTCAAACTGGAGACTCATAAATGTGATATTTCTCAATATCTAAATCTTATTACAAAAGACACGAAAAGTGACAACTTGCATGCCTAGAAAACAACTTGCATGCCAGAATCAATACGTATTAAAAGTATGCATTTATATTCAACAAAAGTTGTATCTCTGTCTATCTTAACTGTGTGTGTCTTTGTCCGTGAGGTGATGTGGGTCAGGGTCATGGGACGTCAAGCTTTGACAAGGCTTAGGACAAAAATAATAAGCCTCTTAATGTAATCCTCCAAAACATAAACACAATCGAGGAGAAGGATGTATTCATTAATTCACATTTGCATGCCAAAATAAATAAATAAATCTTACTGTTTGAATGCCTACAGTTTGACAAATATTAGTGGTGTTACCCCTCAAAACACTGGCACAATGTTATCTATTCAAAAACCATATATATATACTGGTGCTGTCAAAATTAGCGTGTTAATGCATGCAATGAATTTTTTCAGTTTAACTGCGTTATTCTTTTTATTATTTGAGGTCTGTTAATCAAAGAACAAAAGAAAAAAGAGCTTTAAGGACTCATCTATATTGAATTTAGAATTTAGTGTTTGATAACTACTCAATTTCTGTATATTTCCTACTTGCTGAAGGGCACAGCTAAATATGACATTTATTATAATGGGTTTATGTGAAGATTGTTTTAAGTTCAATATTCAAGTTTCAATATAAAAGTATATTTAAACATTTTAATGTTAGGTGGGATAAATCACAATTAATTTCTGAAAAAATCTGTAATAAAAATGTGATATATGTATGTATGTACGTATATATAATTTTTTTAATACATTAAGACATAATATTACAAAAGTTTGATGTTGAAGATTTCTATATCAATAAATAAATACTGTTCTGTTATTTTAGTTCATCAAAGAATCCTGAAAAAATATATTAGTTTTCACAAAAATATTTCGCAGGACAACTGTTTTCAATATTGATAATAAAAATAAATGTTTCTTGAGCACTAAATCAGCATATTAGAATGATTTCTGAAGGATCATGTGACACTGAAGACTGAAGTAATGACTGCTGAAAATTCAGTTTTGCATCACAGGAATTAATTACATTTCAAAAAATATTAAAATAGAACAGTTATTTTAAATTGTAATAATTTCACAACATTACTGTTTTTACTGTATATTTTATCAAATAAATGCAGCCTTGGTGAGCATTTTGAAGAGACTTTGTTCAAAAACGTTTAAAAATCTTACCGACTACACTTTTGAACAGCGGTGAATATGCATGCAATAAAAATGAATTAAAGCAATAACCGCAATACTAAATCGATTACCATCTTCTTCAGGTGCTGGTGAGTCGGGGAAAAGCACAATTGTCAAACAGATGAAGTAAGTGCTAAGTAAAAAAAAGTATGATTGATAATACAGTGAATTGGCTAATGCGAGTCTATACTCACTATTAATTCATATTCAGTGCTTTTTCATATGAATAGCTTGGCCCATTAATTATTTTTTTCATGACAGAATTATTCACAAAGATGGTTACTCCCTTGAAGAGTGCTTGGAGTTCATTGTCATCATCTACAGCAACACCATGCAGTCGATCCTGGCCATTGTGAGGGCCATGAGCACACTCAACCTTTCCTATGGAGATGCTGCTGCACAGGTGCTCTACTCAAACATTCAAGCATCCATTAGTCATTTGCATAAATAAACAGGTTAAATGATGGAAAAGAACTGTAGTGATACCATGGCACAATGATGATATCAGATGGTAATACTATGGTATTGAATGATTATGCCATCTGCCTTGACCAAAAATATAGAATCCCACTTTATTGTAGGTGTGTTTAACTACTGTGTATTTGTATGTGTCAAAAACTTTCATTGTTTGGTAGGGGCAGGGATAGGTTCAAAAGTATTAATTACAATTGTAATTCCAGAAATGAATTCCAGATATTTCTTTTAAATGTATGCACAACAGAAAAAAACTGTAACTGACTTGTATGTTGTGACAACAAAGCGTAGATGTCCCAGATTAATTACTAAATGCATCCTAGAGTATACAATGTATTATAACTCCAGGATGTGTTCATTTTATTTTAAAACTCCTGCAATGAAGAAAATTTCCTTTGAAACAGTTTTCACTTATAGTAACACACTGAATTAAATGTGAAATTTTTAAGTAGAAAGACTGAATTAGTATTATCTTGTATACTACAAAACAAAACCGTAATAACGGAAGGATTTTTAAAAATAGACTATTAGGAGAGGTCATGAATGTTACACATCTAAAAGAGACTATTAAATCATGATGAAGGATTTTTCAGTATTTGCAGTCACTCACATCATCCCTTTAGAAAAGTTTGTATAGAAGCTAATGCTTAAACACCTTTAGTTACAACAGCCCAAATCCATACAAGCTGACCATTTTTTTTTTTTTACACCATTTTACCGGTTTGTTTCAGGATGATGCAAGGAAGCTGATGCACTTAGCAGACACCATCGAGGAAGGCACCATGCCAAAGGAGCTGTCTGACATCATCCTGAGGCTGTGGAAGGACTCAGGCATCCAGGCGTGCTTTGACAGAGCCTCCGAATACCAGCTCAACGACTCTGCCGGATAGTATGGCATCATAATTAGTCTTTTAAAGCATGAAATAACAGTTAACAAGGTTTTAATGTACATGATCAAAACCGTAATCAAATCATCTTTGAAACATTAAGTATGGGGAAATACTGTATTGATTCTTACTCTATCTCCAAGCTATCTGAATGACCTGGAGAGGTTGGTCAAGCCTGGCTATGTCCCTACTGAGCAGGACGTCCTGCGATCAAGAGTGAAGACCACCGGTATCATCGAGACCCAGTTCTCCTTCAAGGACCTCAACTTCAGGTACACCTAAAATACAAAGAATGGCATGAAGTAAACCAATAATAACCTTCATCATCTCAAAAATCCAAGCAAGTTTAAGAATGCAAAAGTGTCAATAAGAATTGAATAAGAAAAGTTTGAATGGACACCAATGCCAATAAACTGGGATCTTCTTGGTCTGCAGGATGTTTGATGTGGGCGGTCAGCGCTCAGAGAGGAAGAAGTGGATCCATTGCTTCGAAGGTGTGACCTGTATCATCTTCATCGCTGCTCTGAGCGCATACGACATGGTGCTGGTGGAGGATGATGAAGTGGTAGGTTGCCATTGTGGTCCATCAATGAAACTCCAACCAGACGTTTTACATGCACTATTACTATGAGGCATTTTAGTAATAAACCGTTTTTCCATGTCCTTCCAACCCAAGAACCGAATGCATGAGAGTCTCCACTTGTTCAACAGTATCTGTAACCACCGTTACTTCGCCGCCACCTCCATTGTACTCTTCCTCAACAAGAAGGACGTCTTCTTGGAGAAGATTAAGAAAGCTCATCTGAGCATGTGCTTCCCCGATTATGATGGTGAGACAGCATTTTGTCTGCAAACAAAAATATAAAATGTATTCTTTAACATACAGATTCTTACAATTGACTTTTACATTAAAAGAGAAAAACTAAAGATTTAACTTGGAGTATTAACACATTTTCAGCAGGGATTTATCATGGAACATCACTTCTAATAAATATCATTTATCATTCGGTTTCTGATATGCAAAACCATGCTAAAAATTACAATGCCATGTTTTTCTCAGGTCCCAACACCTTTGAGGATGCTGGTAACTACATCAAGATGCAGTTCTTAGATCTGAACTTGCGACGAGACATCAAAGAAATCTACTCCCACTTGACCTGTGCCACAGACACAGAGAACGTCAAGTTTGTGTTCGATGCCGTAACAGACATTATCATCAAAGAAAATCTCAAAGACTGCGGTCTCTTCTAAACAAGCAATGTGTGGGAAGAGTTGATTATAATATAATATCATAAATATTAAGTAGTAATAGAAGAATAGTATTGCATTATGTTGTTGTAGCATATTAAATTGCGCTACAATTTCTGTATGTGCAAAATTTAAAAGTCTTTCTTCGTTTACAGAGCGGCTTAATCAACAAAACCCAATACTGACCCATTGCCCCTTGTAGCCTGTTTTTCTCCCTGGGTAATAAGGAATTCTCCAGTGCGCACCCACATATACAAATACGTGAGGGAACTGAATTGATTAAATCTTGAAGATGAAAGTATATAGTTGTTGGGATCTACACTTGATTAAACACACTGCATGTAATTAAATATCAGAGCCTAATATATATTCATAGCAGCAAGTCATACATACCAACACATATATGAGGTGTGTTCGGCTCTATTAGTTTTTTTTTTTGCAGTGATCTGTCCTGTAGATTTACGACTACACTTCACACAGCTGTAAACCAAATAACCGTCCTTCTGAAACACCTGCATATGCACTTCAGCATAATGTTTTGCAAGAGTACATTATGAAGCATTTCAGTTATACGTTATAGCAGTTACTGCGTAAAGTTCAGACATTTAAGCTGATTGAGAAAAGTTTCGACTTGACTGGGATACAATGTTCTATATATTTAGGAGTTATATCATGTTATGTATGTCCCATCAGAATCTCTATGTAAGATGGATGACTTCGATGAAAAAATAGCATGTATTAAGTTGTTTAGCTCAGGAGCAGCTAGCTGAGAGACAGAGAACACAATTTTTGAGTGCATTGATAAAAATACAACAGCAAATATTGATTAAAATGACACAATTGACTGCAAAACCATAAACAACCAGGCAAATGTAAACTGAATGAATAAAGCTTCTGTAGAAAAGACTGAACCTGATGTGTTTGTCCTTTAAGTGTCCTGAACGAAGGCTTTAGTATCATAAACCACATTGGGATGGTTGAGTGTTTAATAGCCTACTTACATAATATACGAAAAAATTATTTCTAGAGAATTTTTATATTTTAATTAATCATTTTATGAATATCTGTATCATCAATTTGTATATTATAAAACACATACACAAACAAACATTAAAGCCTCTTAACACCAGTATATCCCGGTTTATTAATTTTGAGAGGTTTAGCTACAACTTATTGATCACAGAAAATAACTTTGACATTGTTTTCTGTGATGACTGATTGTAAGCCAGAGATGCTACAGTACTTGTACAGTTAAAACTGTTTAACCCAGAACATTTCCTTAAGAATATCAAAACCTGACTGTACCACTCACTGATGTGATAAACATTGTATTTTGTGTCTTTTGCAGCTCCATCAAGGTAGATTGTTAAACAGTTTTGCAAAGTCATGGTTTTAATTTTGATTTGATAAAATACACAAGTGTAGACATTCACCTTTGTCTCGTTGGACTAAAGGTTAAATCACAATGAAATCATCAAGCAGATCAACATTAATCTAATCAACTTTAATTAGAATACTTGCATCAGATAAAAACAAATCTGAATAAATATCAACCCCTATTTACTGAGAGTATCCTCTGTATGTGCCCCAAGGAAATTATAATCTGTAATATCAAAGAAATTAATTCTTCTCTTATCAGCATACTGATCATTCTCAGAATTCCTTATTTCTGACTTTTGGTTGGAGAACATTTGCACCAAGATCTAAGCATTAAAAGAGTTAACAACATTACTTACACAGCACATGCATATCACCTCTGAGTGACTGCATTATGGCATACTATACTGATCCTGAGGACTGAAGAAAAATAAAAATGAGATTTGTTAAAGGCACATGTTTTTTGTTAAATGTAATATTTGGTCCAATAAATGTTATGTTGCATGTTTGTTTACATACAAAATACAGGAGTGGAGACTAATTACTAGATGTTCAGACCTTATTGAGAGAGAATCTACAGCACTTCCTCGACCTACTGTGTAAAATGTACCAAATTATGAGGTTTTCTCTGTCAAAATAACTTGTGAGTGGAGATTTCACACCTTAAACAGGCACGCTACATAACAAAACCTTTCCGATTTTATCACAATAGACTGACAGCAGAAAAACAGAATGGTTACACCTTGCAAACCAAGGCAAAGTATGAAAAAACAAAGAATGTGTCATATTGCAAAGTGAAATTTTTTTCAGAATGCAGTTTGATTTGTCTGAAATGAAGCCCATCTGTTGTGTGTGTTCCTGAACAATGTAAAAAAAATAATGTTTTTTGAAATATAAAGCTTATATGAGAGTTTGTTCCTTGAGAAGAAAATCTAAAACATGCATACATACCATCTCAACCCAGTAGAGCCCTTTATAATACTAGATCAAGTTTCATTAAACATGGCACTGAAGAGAACATGTAACAGTGTGTGAAAACACACTTGATTGCACAATACAGAAATCGATCAGCCCAAAGAATCAAAAACAGTTTTGCAATGCATTTAGGATTCTGAAGAGCCAAACTGCCCTGAATGTGTTTTTGTTAAGCTGTGGACCTTTGCTGGCTGGATCTTAATATGTAGCCAAACCCTAACACCTGGTCCACATTTAGACAATATATGACCACAGAAGACAACTTTCATGAAAAAAAAACAACAACTGGTACTGGTTGATTTGTTGACCGAATATCTTGCCACTTCATGTGCAAAAAGACACTGAAAAGTTCTCTGATTGGAGAGTTACTGAACCCCTCCAGGGGGTTTATATGTGGTGAGATGTCCAGGGACAGTACTGATGTCAGGACAGCCCCACCATATGGTCTATTTGCCTCATGTATATGCTCTTTAGCGGAAGGCCGTAACGTCGCTCTTCAGGAATCCTTTCACACTATTAGACAAATGAAAATAAGTCATTCTTATTTCTATGACCACTTTCAAGATCTATTGTCATGTCCCTGACAAAATACTACTTTAAACACTGTAAGAACATTGTACACTATGCTTTAGCAGTTTTATGTTTAAATGATCAAGAAACAAAAAAAGCTGGGAATAGCTGATAATTATTTAAAAAACTAAAATAAATAAATAATTTATATTTATATTAAATTAGAGCTGTCAAATCGATTAATCGTGATATATATATATATATAAACATAAATTCACTATTAGTGCAGTCGTGAATGACTGTTGTAAGTGAATGAATCATTATCATTCATGTCCATGCACTATTGTTTTTTGACTGTAGCATGACAAAGCAGCATTTAAGCAAATATCATTAAAGGGCAAGTTTTGAAGCACCATATAATTGACTGGACAAGCTGACTGAAAAAACTTAACCCTAAACACATTTTAGTAAAAGACAGTAAAACTGGTTTCATTTATTAAGATCCACACCACTATTCATATTCATAAGTGGAAGTACTGATACGGTGTATTAAATCAATTTCTTACATTGCTTATGTTGGCTGGGGGCTCGTTGTTAGGCTCTTCACACGGGAATTGGTCTTCCCAACTTTTCTCCCTGAAGCGCTGATCTATTGGCACTACATGGCCTTCAGTAGTGAAGATGTACTTACTCTCAGACTTGTGCAGTGGGTTGTCTTCATCAAAGAGCTATAAAGGGTTGTAAAATATCAATTAGTGATGGACATGTCAGCTGCATGAAACTTGACAATGTTTGACTGATAAACTTGGCTACAAATGTTTGTAGTTTTTCAAATAAAAGTATGGCTAAAAAAGACTAGATGCAAGAAGTGAGAACAGGAAACTATAAAGCGAGAACGGCAGACAACTAACCAGGTAAAGGTACTTGCACGTTTCGCTGAGGAAGAAACTTTCCATGCGATCTTCTTTGGACTTATCCACCACATGATGGAGTGTGGCATAACCACACCTGAGAAGCATATAAACAAAACATCTGTCCTGAGAACATGCCAGCATCCCAATCAACTCAATCAATTCTTACTATTGATGGCCTGCACATAGAAAGAGTAACAGCTTATAAGTATTTAGGAGTATGGCTTGTCGAGAAGTTAGCTTTTAATGTACATATTGATTACTTGGTGAAAAGACTTAAACCACGATTGGGTTTTCTATTTCGGCAACAAAAAAAAGTTTTTCCTTTGGAGCTAGAAAGCAAATTATACAGAGTACATTTTTACCCATTTTGGATTATGGAGATGTTATTTACATGCATGCTTCTACGTATTTATTGAAAAGGCTGGATAGTGTTTACCATGCTGCATTGCGATTTATAACAAATGCTTGCTCACGTACTCATCATTGTTTGCTGTATAATAAAGTAGGTTGGTCCTCTTTATATCAAAGAAGGAAATCACATATGTTAGTGTATACTGTAAAGGCATTGTTGGGCATGCTTCCAAATTACATCTCTAGTCTTTTATGCCTACGTAGAAAGAATTATATCACCAGATCATCAAATGGGATTCAATTAGAAATACCCAGGATATATTCAGAGCATGGAAAATCAGCTTTCTCTTACTATGCTCCGTGGTTGTGGAATGAATTTCAAACTGTAACTCCATTAGAAACAATTCCTTCTTTGAATATTTAAAAAAATTTAGTGCAGTGTTTAGTAAATGAATCATGTTGTTGTTTTAATTAATTTACTGATTTATGATTATTGTTTTTGCTTTGGTTATATGTAATTTTGTCTTGTGAGGTGTATGTTTGTGAAATTTTATGTGAAATTTTTTTGTACGGTCATCTTGGCCAGGACTCCCTGGAAGAAGAGATTTCTTTTATCTCAATGGGACCTTCCTGGAAAAATAAAGGATAAATAAATAAATAAAATAAATCACTTCCTAGCATTTTAAACCATATACCTGACTTTGGTATCTTTTTCAAGGCTTTCAAGAATGTCCATCCCAACATGAAGATAAAAAGGATTCTTGGTTGCCTGCAGAAAGTCAAGTCTATCGTTAATTATACTGTAACGCTGTAAAGTTTAAAAATCTGGTTATAAAAAAAAAACAAAAAAAAAACAAAACAGGTTGTACCTGATAGAGTAGGTATGTGGATTCTACTAGTTCTGGTCTTAAAGGGTAGAAGAGAACATCTGGGGCCTGAAGCTGCCAGTTGTATCTTTCCGGAAGAGCACCGAAACGCTTCCAAATTGCATAGTAGAAGGCATGAAGGCAAATGGCATTTTCAACATCTCCATTCAAAACCTGAGCAAACAGAGATGTGTGTCCCTGGTTAGAACCCAAATTAACTGAATGAAAAAAAGGCTATGTCAAAGAAAAAAAAAAAGAAAAAAATGTCAGGATGCACAAGGGTAAAAAAAGCTCTGTATATACTTGTATAACAGAAACACACTACAACTAGTTATGGATTTTAATATTACATCAGAAAGTTCATGTTCACTATTAATTCAAATGCTCTGTTCTACATAGGCAGAACAGAAACAGAACCTCGTCGGGTTGATTTAAAATGCTCAAATGGAGAAAAACAATTTTTTTGTGTTCTAATAAACAAATTTACCAAGCAAACACAAATATTGGGTAAAATCGTACATTTTTTATTACACTGAAATATTTTCAGATGGTTTCCAGTACTGAATGAAACAAGTACAGGTGCATCTCAATAAATTAGAATGTCGTGAGCCAAAATCATCACAATTAAAAGAACCAAAGACTTAAACTACTTCAGTCTGTGTGCACTGAATTTATTTAATACACGAGTTTCACAATTTGAGTTTAATTACTGAAATAAATGAACTTTTCCACGACATTCTAATTTATTGAGATGCACCTGTATAGTTATAATATTTATATCTATTATACTAAAGTTCAAAAGTTACATTTAGATACATTTTTCAGAATTTTTTGATGAATATACATTTTTGAGGTCAATTTTATGCTTCCTTGCTCAGTTTTTTGATCAATTTAATGGATCCTTGCTATATTAATTTC